ACATTATACATGGAGGTCCCTCGTACATATATATGTATATATATATATACCTAGGAACTCGTCCAGGCTAGAATTCCAGCCCGAATCCGTTCAGGCAGTATTTCTGCCCGAACATGGTTTTCACGCCCGACCCTGGAATTCTCGCCGCCCGAATGTGTGTTTGCTCATTATAGATATATGCTGCGAGTCATGAATGCATGCAATGCAACTTGAGTCTACAAAATCCACCCGATCACAAAAATTTACGCCCGAATCACGCCGATTCTCGCCCAAATTGAAATGTCGAACGTTGCTTCAAAACTGCAGATTTGCAACTTAGGTGCTTTGCAAGTAATTTGCAGCATTTGCCCGAATAACGATTTCTGCCCGCAGGCTGCTTTTAAGGACAAACCCTGGTTCAGGCATAGTTTTTTGAACTGGCAGAAATTTGAGCCTGAATGAGGGTCCAGGTATAGAAAATTGTACAACTGTCGTTTGCTGTGGTCAACAACGGGTTGCTTGGGCCCGATACATGCCACACACTGCGTGGATCTTTGGTTTATCCATATGGCGTCAAAGCATTGGAACTGCTGGAGAAGAATCTTTGAGCACTTTCACCACCTGAACTGAGACTTGAAGAACACAAAAACTGTTTGCAAGATCCAATCCATGGCCAATACACACTAAAAAGAGTACACACCTACATAACCACATGCAAGACTGGTCGTTTTCTGCTGATTCTTTTTGACCATTTGGAACAGAAACAGCTCGATTCGGTGCGCTTTTTAGGCATCCGATGCCTCTGCCTCTGCCTCAGGATGGCTCACCGGTCTCCATGCGCCGTTCGAGTCCCGGCTCCTGCCAATCGCCGGAGAAAACACCCCATGGACCGGGCCCGCCCGGGGCGGCCCAGGTGGTCGTGTGATGCGTGGTCGTGGGTCATGGTTTGATCTCCTCGTTGACTGTGTACTATATATATATTTTTTATTGTATATTACTGTATAATATATATATATATATGTGTTATTGTTTTACACGAGTCTTGCTTGCTATATAATGGTTGCATTCCGGAGGAACTTGTGTTTTTGCTTTTGTGGTCAAACTCCCTATATCACAAAAGATATAGGTCCACGGCCCACACACGAGTGATGCATGTATTTGTTACGCATGACAATCCCCTTGTAGTGGAGCATTTATAGAAATGCAGCATTCGATCATATTGGATCTCAGGATTGTGAAGCATTCTGCATTTCCCATGGAACAATGGCTTTCCACCTGGGCGTCATGTCGACCGTCCTGCCGGTGCGGAAACCGCACATATCAGCACACGAAGCTGCGGCAGGATTCGAAATGCCCTCGATGAAGGCAACCAAGTCGGTGCGTAGTGTGAGCAACCTGGCGAACATCAGAGAATCAGGGTTTCACAAAGGGGTGGCTTTTAGTCACATCCAGGGAAGGGAACCATGGGCACCCTCATCCTCATCCTAAGCACCACGTTCTTCGAACTGCTGGAGAGAACCAGTTTCTTCGTGACTGGAGTGTTCAAGTTACCCTTTGGTGGGCCTAGCTATAGCGACCTCATGTGACAGGGTATCAAATGGTGACTTTGAAGAACCAGGGAACCACCTTAATACTGCTCACGATGCTGGCCCTGTGGAACCTGGTGCAAGAAACAGAAGAATAGCTCCGTAGACGAAGAAGGACATACTTGATTCGTCCAACACTCCCCCCCCCAAAAAAGAATAGTTGTTTATTTAAACAGTTTTCACATCCTTTCTAGAAACCATCTCTTACTCTTCATTTGGTCATGAGCTTTGTGACCCAGACACGGTCTCACCGCACACCGCACACGGTCATCGCAGCGCTCAGGCAGCCGGCGCTCGGGTCAGTCGCGGCGCTTGCCCAGTCGTTCCTGTGGAGATCTCTCGCAGGTGGCGATGACGCCCAGGTGCGACGGGACGAGAACCGCGCGCCCGGCCTCACCGTGGAAGTGGAGTAACGAGCGGAGAAGGGAACGAGCCGGTCGTGTTCGCAGCAGGGGGCACGACGTTCGAACGCGCGCCGACCGCGTTCGGGACGGGAACGCTGGGGGCTTGCTGCTGATGATCATAGCATATCATAGCTAACGCCACAAACAGCACAACAGACTGAAAGGGCACAGGTGAAGATGCTGGGAATGTAGTGAAAGACAAGGAGGAGCTGCACCCAGGTGCAGCCCCAGCAGCACAATGTACTTTCGAAGCTTTTGGGGCGTTCTTCTGAATAGTTGACCAGCCACCAGACATCACCTGACAATGTCATTAAAACCAACAGCCTGGATTTGCAGCTGACACAATTCAGTGTGGGGCAAAGCATTGAACCACCACGTGGGGAAGGTCTGACCATTGTCCCGTGGAACTCAACACCACTCCAGAGCGAATAGCTTTCGAGAGTGTGCTTTCGATCCACTCTCGAACATGCATCAGTTTGTAGATGAGCAATGGTCTTGAAGTGGGTCTATGTTTCATTCCTTGTGTTTCATTTCTTGTTGCAGCACCGGAGAAGGATGGAGCTGACCATCAATGAGGTCGGAGCTATTTTGAGTGGGAGTGTTGGTCGAACATGAATCACCTTCACGTCCTTCCACATTTCTCCGCCATGTGTCCTAAAAGATCAGAAAGATTCCTATACCTAGAGTTTCATTGGGCAACAATTACAGACCATTAGGTTCTATAGGTATAGTTCATGATCACAAACCATCACAGACCATTTTTGGTTGGAGGCTTCAAGAAAAAGGCCTTCAGCTGGGACGCCCGATCCAGAAGGTGTAGGTGTGCCCTGGTCCTCCAGAAGGTATGCCAGTTCGACGGGCGCGCCAGGCGCACGAAGAGTGCCAAGAATTTCCGACGAGGGCGCAAGAGGGTCATGGTCGCAGCCATGAATGCCAAAAAGATGCTCGGTGGAGAGTGGACCAAAGTGAAGAAGCCGTTTTCCGGGCGAAGGGAGTTGTTTCCGGTGTTGGTTTGGAAATAATATGTCCTCCTACCAGCTGGAATTTGGGAAAAGGGATTGGGAGGACAGCTTAGAATTACAGAGATTGAAGGAGTTCTAGTAGTGGGGATCCCAGTAATTATTAGACGATTTGTGCAGTTTCTTTTTTTTCTTGAGCTTGGGATCAGGGCTCGAGCTCCAGATTTCAACAGAGTGCTGTCCGGGAGGGAGCTTTTCAGAGCCTGTTTCACAGCTGCTGTTTGGAGCGGAGCGATGACGTCAGCGAGTCAGCTAGTTGAGTCCTCCCCCACCGCGGTTGAGTCCTCCCCCATCACGTGCTAAACATGCCCATCCTCAGCCCATCCTGGTTTGGCGTATTTTCCCGAACTGGGTCAATCCCCTCACCTGGTGAAGATGTTGTATGTTTTCCCCGGCTCCTGGAAGGAAAAATCCTCAAAAGGGGAGAGTAATGCCACGACTCGCATACCCAGACGTGACCAATTGGAGTGGTGGTTGATTTCCGGGGTCTTTCTCGGGCGGCAGCTATTCCAGTCCCGTTTGTCGTGTTTGGGATATGGCATATGGATCTTGAATTGTGCTCGTGCGATCATGCGATCCGCAAAAGCCAGCTGCCAATGAACAACGCAACGTTCCAACATGTTCTCCCCCGAAACATTTAAAGACAACGTAAACGCATCCCCCAATCCAACATCCAAGACATCTCCCCAAAATCGCCAAACTTGGAAGAGGTTGTTTCTTTCTTCAACTCTTCGAGGACAAAACGGCCGAAACATCAGCTCCCTTCGCTGGGATCCCTGCTGCTTTGCTCACCGAGGCCTTCCCCCAACACTGCTGCGGAGCGGCCACCGCCTGAGGCGTTGTTGGCCTTCCTGCGCTACTTGGTGTGTCGGTTGTTTTTTCGGCTCAAAACAACACATCCATGGGGTGTACCATACCCAGACACGACCCATGGGACTGCCATATATTGAAATATGCCGATCAGTTGACGCCTTTTCAACCACCCCAACTGATCGGCATCTATGGCATCCATGGGGTGTTTGGGATATTTTGGTAGACATGTTTTTGGAATCATGGAAGCCGCTTACTACACATTTGTGGGGCCTGGTGGCCCCAACAACCTCAGTGGTTCATAGCCTCAGCGAAGATACAGAATATGTCATATGTCAGCAACATTTATACAGCTAGTCATATACGGTGACGGTACATTAAACTTCTACAGAGAGAGGGAGAGAGGGAGTTGTGAGTTGTATTTGACACAGGTCTTAGATGATATGCTGGAGGAACCACACTAAACGATCCTCTAACCAAGGCAGCTGTGTGGAACCTGTTTTCTTTTTCAGTCCAACAATCAGTGAGATGAACCTTAAACTGAAGTCCCACACGAGCACGCGTTTTTCTGGGTATTCCAGAAACGGAGGTTTGCCATCCTACATTGAACATTCATTTGACCTCGGTCACGGGCGATTTCGGGAAAAACAACCTGCGTGGCGCGATTCCACGGCGGGAAGCTGTTTCGCCAAGTCTGGCACAAGACTGGTGAAGCAGTTTTTTCTAGGGTGGACAGTCGGTCACTGACTGAACCCATCCTGTATAGCCTTCAAAGGCCATATAGGAAAAACAAACTGGCGACGACCTATAGTTAAATGTGTTGTTCTGTAGTAAAAACGATGTTAAAAAAGAAAAGAAAACAACACGTCGTCGAGCAATGAATTCTTTGGGGATGGCCGGCCATGAAGTCAGGCCGCGGGGGCGATCTGAGTGAAAGTCCGAGGTCCGGAACCCCTGCCCCAATGGAGAGTCACTAGAGTTCATAGTGTTTGATGAGCGATGTAGATCAGGCATGATCAGGGCAGTTAGGAGATGTTAGGAATGTTTTTGTTGTTCAATTACGTGGCTTCTCACCATTTGAAGGGCCAACCATTCCCATTTTGCAACATCACCCTAAAAATTGACATGAAAAGGCTCCGGCACCCTGCAGAAATTTCAAAAAATCATCATGTTCCCGGCCAGTGGCAAATTCTCCACCTTTCTTTTAAAGGGCATGTATTTATACGTACCTGAGTACGTACCTGTTACGTTCACTCACCACGACTGTTCTCATTCTTCCCTTTCAAAAGTTCATGCTCCACCTTTCACCCCACGGCCCCACCGACTGATTCGCGCACAACCCACCACGAGAATTCCACCCAAAAAAAACACGCCACACGGCCCGATCTGCGGCGCCGACCCATGCAGATCCTCAGGCGGTGTGGGTAGCGGGCCCGAGAATTTCGATCTGGAGCAGATCCTCAGATGGGACTTCGACCGATGGGAAAGCCGGGACACCCAGGAGGACGCGTTGGTTGCGAGGCCAATGGAGGCCAATGAATTCATATACAAGGCTCTTGGATGGCAAAGAAGGACGAAGGGAGGCAGGCAGCCAGGGCCATTTGAGTGTTGGTTTTAAGGTAAAGGGCAGCTAGTCATCAGAGTCCTCATAGGCATTATTCTTTCCAGCAGTTCCAACTTGGTGCTTCTTGGAGGAAGTGGGCGTACCCGGCGTACCCATGATCCGCTGGATGGGACTCAAACAACTGCCCTTTCCATGTGACCCCTAGTGTATTTCATGTTGAGTGTTTAGGTGTTTGAATTTTGCTTTGAGGCTCCACATCCGGCAGAAATTTTGTTTGGTCTCTCCAGGAGGGAGGGCGTTTCTGGGCGCTTCTGTCAGATGCGACTCGCGACTCAAGGTCCAAACCTTGAGATCACCGCTGTCCCTTTCAGACAAACGTTAGAGACCTTTTCGCGGCAGGTCTTTGGGCCAAAGGGATTTTTCAGCACCAAGCAACCGTCAAACTATGTCAAACTTGTTTTATCTTGTTTATCTTGGAGGTTTGAGCAAGTTTGGGTGGGGCCAGTGACGCTGTAACATTCCCTCGCTAGAGGGTTTGGAAGATGTTTTCTTGCACCACTGCCATCGCTCACCAGACCAGCACAACTACATCCAGTGGCTCTTTCCCACGGATGAAGAAAGCGACACTCGGCAGATTTGGGGGGAAGACCAGCCGGTTGTTTCGCAGTTCTTGCAACATATGTGCATTACACATCATTAGATTACAATCATATGTCATATAGAGCAAAACATAGCAACACTATATACACCGTATAATCAATTATCAAATGGTGGCACACCTGATTCATGTTCCTGGACCTTCCTGTCGGGGTGTCCTGTTTGGAGCACATGTCGTGTAGGGACTGCCATTGGTGACCCCGCAAGGAAGGTCCATATTTGGGATGTTTTGCTATGTGTTCTTCCTCCCTCATGTGATTCTTTCAAGAGTAGTGGTTTGTGCCCTCAAGTTTGAGCTGACTCCTCACTAATTTAATCAATTGTCCCTTTGCGTGGTGACTTCCCAATTTGCTGTTGCTTAAACCAACCAGTGGGGATCGGTTTTCAGAAAGTGTTTCGGCGTCGTTTTTCAGCACACTGAGTGCTGCTTGAGTCCAATGTTTAATTCGAAAGGGTAGCGGACACCTACAAGCTGTTTTCTTAGGGTCGGTCTGTCCCATTACCTGTAACAGTCGGTAAGCAGTTATATCAGATTTATGTATAAACAATAATCATGATCATGATCATCATCATCATCGTCATCACCTCTGGGAATGGAACATAACTATGACATGCCCAATGTTTTCTCAACTATGTTGGTTTCCCTTGAGCTGCTTCGCATGGTCTTCAGCGTGCACAGTCTCGCAACCAGCGGCGCCTTAGCGCGTTTCCGAAGAAGAGATTGTGGTGCATTCTCCTGGGAAGCATTCGGGCAAGTCTCCAGTGCAGGGGATCTACCTTTGAGAATTTATTTGGGCACACCCTGGAGACGAGGACATTCAGCCAGTGAGCATCCCAAAGACAACTTTCCCAGGTTACATGTTACAAACAGAGACTAAATAGGTCACTGACGGATGATTCTGTTGGGTCACTTCCGAAGTCACTTCCGACTTTCTGTAGGCATGTGGTTGCATCGTACATGGACCTACAGAGCCAAGTTCCTTGCCCTCCAGACTTCGCCGGCTTCCTCCCACCCACAGCAAGCCTGTGCGTGCGTGGTTTTGCACGCTTCTGAAGCCCAGGAATATCATCCAGAGGCACCGGTCTTGACGCCGGAGGTGCAAGAGGAAATGTTGGTGGATCCACAGGCCGGCGTGGATTTTCCGCATTTCCATCCTCCGCGTGAAACGCAACTTTTGTCTCATCGGGTGACCGAAACTCTGACTGTTTCGATGCGTCTGACCGTTTCAGTTGGCTCGGTTTCCGTGTGAAGGGTGGAGCACGAGACGTGCGGAGCGGGGGAGGGGAGGTGGCCAGAGGTGATCCAACATGATCCAACCGATTTGTTTGAAAAAGACATCCGCTGCGATCAGTGGATCATGACGGACTGTGAAGAACTGGTGATCCGGATGGTTCGAAGATGTTCGCATCCGAAGAAGGGCTGGTCGTGAGGGGGAGGATGGTGAGGGCGGGCATGGCACGTGGCGTTGCGCCCGCGACGTTCGGTGCGCCCATACTCGGCCGAGACTCGGTGACGACACCCATATGGCCCATATATGGAGATGTTGGAGGATCCGTGAGGACATATGGGCCGTATATGGGAGGATATGAGCTCATATATGGAGGATATGACCCAGATGGCTCATTTATGGCCCATTTTGGCCCATATGCTTCCAAGGAATTCGAAGAATTGACTCCCAAATTGAAATCCGTGAGTGGACCTTGCACAGTGAATATTTTTTCCTGCACGGGTTAGAGGTGGGACAAAGTGGACAAAATTGAATTGGTAAGGCAAAACAGTGGGATGGAGATGTTCATGAAGTAAAACGTTATATAACAACTTGTTGCCTACCAAGACCAGGAACCTTTTCGAGACTGAAGGAACAGAGAAACTGACCACCTCAGAGATGATGATCATGTGCCAGCACCCCTCCAACAGGTGTTCCCTGGTGACCAAAGATGCCCAGAAACCACCTGTGGTCGGGTCTCCAAACAGCTGAACCTTGGAGGGTCCTGGTCAAAAACCGATCCTTTTCACCGGTCATGGATGTTTGTCAACCCTGGGCGGCGCTCCTGGATGGGGAACGACGGTTTCTCAGGCATGGGTGGGGAACGACGGTTTCTCAGGCATTCATCAAGGAATCGGCCATATTGCCACTGTTTGTTTGGTATCCCAGGGCTGAATCACAACATTTACGTATCTTTTGGGTCTATCCGAACTTACCTGTAACAGTCGGTCAACAATGATCACTATTGTAGAATAAAGGCCTGCAACCTAACCATCATCATCCACTGTTGCTAGTATATAATGGGATAGACCCAAGGTGAATATTGAATGTCAGAGTGCGTCCTTCTTTTGTCCCAGCAACTTGGGCCTGTCCGACTGTCCAGCTCCACTTGTTGGCAAAGCAACTTGACCAGTGGAGACAGTGGAGACTGGATCTTTTAAATGCTAGTGTTTGTTTTTTAGAACAAACTAACCAAAAAAAAACATCCGGGTTCAAATGGTGAAGTCCGATGTTAAAGTTCCTTTAAGGTCCTTTAGATTCTAGATGTCACATGATTTACCTATTTCTTGGTATCCCAGACCATCCATGGGACTGGAATATATGCCTACATTGACCCCTCCAACTACCCCAATGTAGGTATAGGCCATACATGGGTGGTGTGGGTATGTTATTTTTTGGGGGGGCTTCATCCGCCAACCTCGACTCCGTTTGTCGAGGTGGAGGACAACCTGGTGCGATGCCTAGAGAAATTTCTGAGCTTTCTGGGATTGGATTGCTCCTTCGACGAGGACGACTGGAATTCTCGGTGGGTGACCGGGCATGACCAGGACATCCCTGGTCCTAAATGAACAAGAAGTGAACAAAACAGATTGATCTCAAGCTTTGGGTATGAAACTTGATGAAACTTGTATAGATGTTGCCACAGGGTTTTGTACCCAAAGATCTCAAAGGTCAGGCTTTTAGGAGCCACCCTGTTTTGGGCTCGTGACGGCTTGTGGTCACGAGCGCTGCTGGAAAGCACTTGGATGGAACACCAGGTCTCCTCAAGGCGCGGATGAATGGACAATTGGTTCCACTAAGATCACAGTTGAGGACCACTTCATTGCAGGGGGGTTCTTTAGGGATCCTTAGAGTGTGTCTTCTTGGATGTTCTGTGTTGTCCCGCCAAGTACGCATGTCTCTCATGTCTCGCATGTTTCATAATTATGTTTCATACAAGACTGTCAGGTGTTTTTTCCGCGTGTTCCCTACCATGTTTTAGTTCAGGCCTGGCTCGGAAGGTAGTTGGACCCTGGAAAGCCCATCCAAAATCCTTAACCACCAGAAGCTACCAAGCCTCAAAGACTCAAAGCTCACCTGCCTTGAAACACTTCTGAAGAACGAGCTCGTGCTGAAGCGCATTCTGCTACCCCGGCCAGGACATTCCCGTCATCACAGATATAAGTGGCAATTCCGTGCACTCCAGGGCGGCAGCACCGGCAGCTCGACGTCGAATGAGGTGTTGAGCTCACAGGGTGGAAGGGCGATGAGTTCGGGGCAATGAAGCTTTAAACTTTAGAACACAGAAATAAGCATATATAATTATATAATCATATACCCTGGCGGTCGGCGACCTTTTTTTCAAGGGCTGTTGTGGAGCCGACATTTTTTACAATCAACCGACATTTCCGTCGGTTTGCCCGCATCGTGTGCTGAGGCCTCTTGCTCGAAAATATGAACTGTTCTCCACATCGAGCTTTCAAACATGAAATCATCACATGCGGACAAATCAACCATGGAATCAAACAGACTCCGATGAAACCACAGTTGTTTTTCTCGTCACCACGTGCGGGCCATGGTTTGATGGTCATGCATTGGAACGACCAGTGGCTGGGTCTGATAGAGAACAACAAACAGGATCACCACGTGTTTATGTTGATCTGCCCCTGACTTTTTGAGGCCTGATGTGGCCTGATCCTATCTTGCATGAAGAAAGCATTGCGCAAAAGTGGGAAACTTGGTATCCAGATCCCAAACCCACTGGTCACTCCCAAAGCTCCGTGCCCAGGACTCCACGAGGAATCGGAAATTCTTCGATTAAATCAAGCTGCTGATGTCCTTGAAGGCTGGGGACTATCTCACTCTCTTGGCTGGTGGGGATTTTTGAAAGTGAAAGACAGCTTTCAAACATGTCATATTTGTTTGAAGTACAGTGCTGCAATATCCCTGCACCGATATCAACTTGGGCTCCGCAGCGTGACACCATTTTGGTGTTTCTTGGTGCAATGGCAGATCACGCAGAGGATCGGGTGAACCTGCTCAAGGCATTCAATCGATCGATCGGTTTGCAAAGCAATGCATGAGAGGGATTGTTTTTTGAATCATGATTGGTTCATGAGCCCCAAGTGTAAAGAATAAGTCTGTGCAATGTGGGGGGTGAAGGCCTTCTATTCGGACATCCTCCAGCAGCCGAACTTTATCAAAGGAAGAAGGAAGCTGCTGAGGACCCGCTTGAAAATGCAGTCCAATGATCCTACAGCTTTCTGGATGAATTTGGTTTAAACATGTTCAGAACAGTGATGCACAAGGTACATCAAGGTACATTGTTGAGGACAGAAACTGAGGTACCCAGCTTTGCCTTCGTTATCCGGTATTCAAAAAAAGGGGACAATACAGGAAACGGAGGCTGGATCTGGATGGTTGCTCACTTCAAAGTTGTTTTGTGGCACATGGCTTTACAATGTCCCCGTCTCATGACACTCCTGCAGGTGGAAATGGATACAAATTTTGGCTTCTGCCTGGAGTTTCTAGCATCCTTCGCCCACAATGTCCCGAACTTGAAGGAAATGAAATGGAGGACCTAACTTAATTAAACTCTGAAGTTTCTTGGAATAGGATCGATTAAGAAAAACACACAAAACTACTTCAGGAAGCTTTGACTTGTGTGCATGCACTTCAATCTGAACCCAGATTTGGATGGCCACAGTGCCCATGTTGCATCTTGTCTTGATAAATTATACAAAAACAGCGATGCCACACATTAGAGTCATTATAGAGCAGTACACGATGTTACAATGTTGATATGTCGTGTTTAAGGCTTGGGCGACTGTGGAAGCTGGAGTTCAGCGATCCATGGTGACCTACATCCTCACCCGCTTTCAAAAAAATATGGGGACCAGGTGGGAAGTTTGTGCAACTTAAGGAGTGCAACTTGTGTGTGTGTTTTTAAAGGGGGCTGAGCAATGATTCGGAGGTCAAAGAAATCGAAGATGAGGCAATTGAAGAATGTCATCCGTGCGAAGTTGGAGGCATGGGCCGAACCAATCTTCAGGCTACTTGGGAACTTGTATATGTGCTAGCTGATAGGCTGAAGGCCAGTTGACTTCTTCTGGCAAGAAGGTTGCGACCCGGGGAAGGTCTTCCTCGAAGGACACTTTGTTGAACAAATTTGAGCGGCTCATGTTCCAGAACAAATTGTGGCACTGGTGTCTTTACCAAATTGAGGCGCATAAACCGATCGATGCATGCACATGCACACTTAGGAATTTGTGGAGCATGCTCCATCCTTCGATGAGATGGAGACTTTGCCAATGGATGTGGACGTAGTCGAAGGACCAAAGGGTGAGCTGCAACAAGAAATGCAAGAAGATGAAGCAGAAGAGGAGGAGCCCTTGGAATGTGACCAAGAGTGTGAAGTGCACGAGACTCAAGGTGAAGAGTGCGAAGTGCATGAGACTCAAGCTGAAGAGTGCGAAGTGCATGAGACTCAAGCCGAAGAGTGTGAGACTCAAGGACCTGATCAACCCTTGCAAGAACTCCATGACTCCCAGGTTCCTGTTGGACATGACCTATATGAAGAAACTCCGGAAAAGCGGGAGGATGCTGCAGCGGAGCTTGAGAGAAAGAAGGCCAAGAAAAGAGAGTACGAGGAGTTGAAAGCAAAAATTGAGATCTTAGAAGCGGAGATTCTGAGACAAGAGGAGGATACAAAAAGAGATGCGGAGATTCTGAGACAAGAGGAGAAGACAATGGGAGAGGGCGGAAAGTTGAAGGATGCACCAACTGAAGAGGTGAAAAAGGAGGAAGAAGAGGTGGAACACATCTTTGAATCTGAAGATGAAAACAAAGGCTGTTTCCAGGTTGGGGCTTGGGGAACAAATGAGCACTCAAATGAGCATATAAAATTGAATGAATATTTACATAATTTAAACATTAGATATAGATGGATGCTTAAATGACAAAGAATAATGTGCCAGCTAGCGCAGTTGATTCCCATTCAGGACTCCAAGCCGTTGTGCAAGGCGCCCGAGCACAAGGCTGACATCTTGGACAAGACTTCAGCATTGTTGAGAGAATTGTACAAGACCAGGAAGTTGCCATCAAACAATGATGATATTTTGAAGGGGGGTAATTAAGATATATTTGGAGGATCCTACATATGTAATACGTACACTAAATATTGTTGCTGTTGCTCCTGCACCCTGTATAACTCCTGCCCGTGATTGGCCACAGGCCCAGCAAAGAATGCGTCAAGCAACAAGGGAAGCTGAGGAAGAGGCGGAGGATGAAGATCGACGGGTCTTAGAAGAAGAAGAAAACAGTGAGGAGCCAAAGCGTGGCAAAGGCCGGGGACGTGGCAGAGGTAGAGGCAAAGCGAAGGCAAAACCAAAGGCAAGGCAGGCAAAACAAAAGAGCAAAGCCAAAGAGAAGGAGAACAAAACAGACATTGAAAAAATGAGAGAACTCTCGATCACAATGGAGAATGAAGCTGCTGAGCTGCAATTTGCCAAGAAACAGGCAAAAGAAGAACCTGCTCATGATCTGGTGGATCAGGATCCAAAAGAGAACAAGAACACTGAGAGCGAGAAGGAATCCGAGAAGGTCAAAACGCACCCCAAGACCAGGAAGAACATCCGTGAATCCTTTGAGAAATGGAGCCCCAAAAAGACTTCGGCAGCTGGATCGTCACAAGACCGTCCGTCTACAAGAACCAAGCGTGCGCTTGAGGAGGCTGGACAGAAGAAAAGGATGCAGGAGAAGAAACCTGTCAATCGAAAGATTGATTTTGATGAGGAAGCGCAGGAAGCAGAAGACCGTGAGAAGGAGAGTTCGAAAGAAAACAAGAGAAAGAAAGGGATGCCAAAGGATGAGGACACCTCCAAAGAGGATGGGCCTCAAAAGAAGACTCCCATGGATCCTAGTTTACATCCACAATAATATGCACTGCATTTTGCAATATGTGCAATGTCTAGCACACACTCTCAAAGGAAAAGAAAACATGTAAAACATATGCATGTTTTTGTTCATTATAACCTTTGTCTTTTTGGCAACTTTTGACCAACCTGAGGAACGTGGATTGGAAGAAATCATTGCCGTGGCTGAAGCTGACACTACCTTCTTTGCTCTCCCGGCTGAACTGGACATCCGCACCTTCGCCACGGATTGGAAGGTAGATGAGGACATGAAAAAGATCCTCGGACACGCAATCGATCCATTCATGTGTTAGGCGTTGGGTGTAATGGTCTTGGGATGTGCTTCGAACCCCATCCTTGGGATATACTTCAACTGACCCCATCCTTGTTGATCTCAGGAGCTTCACTCTATATCTGCCTGAAGGCAAACAATGTGCAGATGAGTCTAAAGCTGCAAGCATTGGGGTTCAGCCACTTTGCCTAAAGAGGTCTCCCACACATGCATGAATACCCACCAGTTCATTTATGTCCAACTTCCATTTGTGATGATGAGGCTATATTCACGCTCCTTTTATGTGCGGCCTGTGCAGAAAGAACGCCTTGCCAAGTTCAATGAGAAATGGAATCTTAGCGTGACTGTGACTTGGCTCCAACATGCATGCTTACATGCTAGTGACTAGATAGTGAATGTTCTGTCTTAATTATATGGGGTCGTGTCCTCTAGTTGATTCTCTGCACACTGGAGGTCAACAATGCCCTTGGAGCATCAATGGGATGGTCGAAATACCAAGGGGCACTCCCTGCGTTGGGTCCTCATCTCGACCTAATTGTTTCTTTAACCTACGTGACACATTGAAGGCACATCGATCAGCGTGTTCTAGATCTATAGGTCGATCGATCTCTAGATCACTTAATCCTGCCAGGTGGACACTCTGCAAGAAGCTTGCGGGGTGGGAGCCCATTCTCAGAGAAGGATGAAATCCGAGCCTGGCAATGGTCCAGGATTGCATTGTGGCCTCACCTGGCAATGTTGAAATGGTGGCATGTGACAGAACAGGGTAGTCAATTTTTGAGTCACCTGCAACTGAAACATGTCTCGATCTCGGTCCAGGTGTTTTTGCCACATGGCTCGACGGCTTGTTCGATAGAAACATGAACCGGGGAAAAGGGGAAGTTGACGTGAACGCAATGTTGCCAACAATTTGGTGTGGCAGTTGTATCACGCAATTGCAATATTATGGACATGACGCCGACGTGACCGATCGATCTGCAGCCATTTGGGAACCGCTGTGACCTGTGTTGGGGTC